TGAAAATTTAATATGAATGCTAAAAGAAAGCAAAGAATTTGTAATTAAATTAACCATTTGCGTCATTTCGAGAGGCTGAGAGCGAGGCAAGCGATATACGCACTTGCGATACATATATGCGATATATGCGCATACGATATATATGTATATATATTGTACATTTATGTATTCCCACCACTGCCACGCCTAATATGGCGCATTGTCCAACCAACAACAAAAAAAAAAAAGGAGAAAAGGGCTCAATCAAGTTTGCTAAGTGGCTCTGGGACCAAAGAGCCACAGCCAAGGTCCATGCCCGAAGAAAAGGTACAAAAGGGGCCGCAGAGGTGTGGCCGAAGAGCATGGGAGAGGGGTGGTAAACGGGTGGCACGCAACATTCATAAGAGAAAAATGTGAAATGAAAAATCGACTCGCAATTAGCAAACATGAGACATGTCGCGCGGTTCGAGTGGGCGGGCAGCAAGCAAACACACACACACACGCACGCACACGCACACACACACACACGCATACGCATACCCGGTAGCAGTACACACACATAGACGGAGATACAGGAACTGGCTGCGTTGTCAGCATGGTTAATAAGTTACTTTTGAGATACTTTATTACTTCCTTGGTGGCAGCACGACACGAGCAGCGGCGGGGGCGACAGCTGGGGGGGGGGGGGGGGGGGGCGGTTGTGTGTGCATGTGTGTGGAGACTGCTCCCGCTCTCACTCCCCAAGCAAACGATGGCAGCAGCTCAAAAAAAGCCAAAAAAAGGGGTTGCCAGACTGTCTTTCATTAGGCAGCTACGCCAGTGTGTATTAGTGTGTGTGTGTGCGTGTGTGTGTGTTGGTGTGCAGTTTTTTAATTTATGCGATTTTTGACTGCGTGCGTGTAAAATGCCTAAGGTGGGCGGAAATGTGGCAAGGGGGGAGGGGGGGGTACGACTGCTGCTTGGCATTCGATTGTCTTGCGCACAAAAGTAGGCAATAGTTTTTTTCGTTTTTGGGATACTTGAAAACAAGCTCTTATCAAAGGGTGTGCGTGTGTGTCTGTGTGTGTGTGTAACACATRTAAATGCCTGCACCTGTCATGCTTCAAGCTATTGCCGTGAATAGCGCTTTATTAGTCTGAGCATATTCCAAGCTCAACCATAGCCCAGCGGGTATATTAGCTTCAACTCGGTATTTTTTTAAGAGTTGAAACGAATATAGAACAAACAATAAAACGAGCTACAGAAAATAAGAATGCTGAAGATACATTGCCAGATATAGATATAGATATAGTGATATACTTAAGATCTCATCAAGTTTCAACCTGTTTAAAGGGGACGACGACGAGAGTGAAATGGAATCTTCGATTTCTATGTTATGTGTAAACGTATTTAATACTATAAATAAATGATATAGCTTGTAGAATATAAAACTAAATGATATAGCTTGTAGAAGTCTTAAATATTTAATTATTATTGATAATATTAGGAACTGCCGAAATACAACTATGGATATTACTAGTACACTAGATGGGTCAGTCGCTAGATATATAAAGATCAGGGAGCGTTATGAATTTAGAAAAATTTAGGTTCAAAACAACCCCCAAGAAGAGAGGGAAAAACACACATAAGTTATTTTTTATGGCAAACTAAAAACAAAAAATAAATTTATTGAAAAATTATTTTTAATTGTTAAAATTAATTTCTGATAAAAATCATAATCGATTTAATGCTTATTTTCAATTTTTATAATAATAAAAAATAAT